ATCAATCAATCAATCAATCAATCAATCAATCAATCAATCAATCAATCAATCAATCGATCATTCAATCAGTCAGTCAGTCAGTCAGTCAGTCAGTCAGTAATGCAATAGTACCTACTTTAACAACCTCCCACTCAACATAGCTTGAAAGGATGGCGTCACAGTCCAATCACTTTCTCAATTTCAAACCTGCCCTATTTATTCAAATGTTCTTTAACCCTTCCCATACGCCCTGGGGTCATTTTGTATCCCTGGAGTTGTAATCTTCACAGTTTAGAATATTTCTAGTGCAAAGATCTCTTTGAAACTTTCAGTATTTCTCCAAAAAATAATTTTGAACGACTGCTATGCACAGCGTACGGATCGGATTAAAGAGTAAATTAATTTCCTCTTTGGAAAGTGGTGGCAAAGAGTTCCCCAAGTCGTATGGATACGATAGTAAAACACGACGTACGGATAGGGTTAAATGTTCGTTCATCTGTTTACTTGTTTGTTTGTTGAACATTTGTGAGGCAACGTGGTGGAATCAGGCTCTCGTCAATTTTTGGGCTTATTGAGTTATTGGTTCCATCTTAAAGTTTGTTCATTTGTCTTGCTTTCAATGAAAAAATTACCCATCCATCTTTAACAGAAGTGGAGATATTTTGGATTGAAGGAGGTGGGGGTCACCTGGTTTAAGAGGTAAAATTAGCGAGAAAATGGCCGCCAAGGCTTGGTAAATTCCAAAGCTGGAGAGTCCATGAAAACTGTAAATTTATATTATTGAGCCTTTAATCAACGTTTTTCGGTGAAATCCTCAAAGGAATGTGTTTGTAAATGGACATAAAAGGTGTTGAGCCAAAAAACACAGATTTGATAAAAACTGCTAAGATATGAGAAAACTACTTTTTTCTTCGATTTCATTATTTTGACGAGAGCCTGATGCCACCACGCTGCCTCACATTTGTTTGTGTGTTTGTTTAACGTTGGTCTTTTGGTTTGTTGGTCAGATGATTACAGTGTTGTGGAGCTCAAGTTGTACCTGGTGGGCCTGCAGTGGTCAGACGCCTACAATGACCGGAGCTCGCCGGAGTACATGAGTGTAGCGTCTCTGGTGAAGGAAAGGTTCCAGGCTCTGGGAGGGAAACTGATGAATCTGGAACTGGGTCAAGTGTGAGTACATATAGGCTGGTTTGTTTGTTTGTTTGTTTGTTTATTTGTTTGTCTGTTTTGGTGTGTGTCTCTTTCTCTCTACCTCTATCCCTCTCTCTATCTGTATCTCCTTCTCCCTATATCTCTATCTGTGTCTTTATCTCTCTCTATCTTTCACTCTTTATCTCTCTCTCTATCTCTATTTCTATCTCTCTCTCTCTCTCTCTATCTCTCTCTCTCTATCTCTCCAGTAACGACTGTGTGTGTCTCTATCTATCTATCTATCCATCTATCTATCTATCTATCTATCTATCTATCTATCTATATATCTATCTATCTCTCTATCTCTCTATGTCTATATATCTATCCCTCTATCTCTCTCTCCCACAGTAACGGCTGTGTGTGTCTCTATCTCTCATCTCTCTATCTCTCTATCTCTATCTCTCTCTCTCCCCCAGTAAAGGCTGTGTGTGTGTCTCTATTTATCTCTCAATATCTCTATATCTCTCTGTCTACCTCTCTATCTCTATATCCCTCTCTCTCTATCTCTCCATCTATCTATCTCTCCCTCTATTTATCTGTCTATCTGCCTCTCTATCTTTATATCCCTCTATATATTTCTCTTTCTACCTCTCTATCTCTCTATCTATCTATCTCTCTCTCTCCCAGTAACGGCTGTGTGCGTCTCTCTCTCTCTCTCTCTCTCTCTCTCTCTCTCTCTCTCTCTCTGTCCCTCTCTCTCTATCTCTCCATCTATCTATCTCTCCATCTGTCTATCTCTCTATCTCTATATCCCTCTCTATCTCTCTCTTTCTACCTCTCTATCTCTCTATCTATCTCCCTATCTATCTCCCTCTATCTCCCCCCAGTAACGGCTGTGTGTGTGTGTCTCTATCTCTCTACCTCTCTTTCGCTCTATCTCTCTATCTCTCTCCCTCCAGTAACGGCTGTGCAGAGTTGATGGTCCAGTGGGAAGCCACAAGACACGCCGCCATCTTGGACGTCATACTCGGCCTCACTGACGTCACGGTGGCCTTGGACAACAACTACTACAAAGTCCAACTCAGACCTTGCCAGCCATCCCAAGGTATGTACATATGTCACGGCGGGGGGGGATCAGGCGCTCATCAGTTCTTGCGCGTGAGGAGTTACTGGTCTACTGGTCCTTGACCATCAATGAATTATTGACAGAGGCATCATCATTTGGAAAGATTGACATTTTTGCCTATCTTTCAATGACAAATATTTGTGTCTCGACGCATTGGAATCAGGCGCTCGTCAAATGTTGGGTACACGCAATAACTGGAATCATCTGAAAGAGTGTTTATTTGCCTTGATTTCGATGAAAAAAATATCCATTTATCTTGAAAAGAAGTCGAGATATTTGCGATTGATGGAAGTGGGGTCACCTGGTTTCAGAGGTAGAATTAGCACCAAAAAAATGGCCTCCAAAGTTGAATGACTACCATAGCTTTAGAGTCCTGGGAAACTGCAAATTTAAATTTGCTGTGCCTTTAATCAACGTTCTTTCATAAGATCCACACACAAAAGTGTTTTTTTATGGATATATACAAAGTCAACTAAAAAAAAAAATTCGTAAAAAAAAAATTCCAAACTAGATCTAGCTGAAAAATGTCTATTTCTCGGATCTCATTATTTTGATGAGCGGCTACCTTCACAACGATGCCTCCGAATGTAAACGGGAAGGGGGGGGG